GAGTGTGGCCAAAGTTGCCCAGTTTGTGAATGGCAGAGTTGAGAACACAGCCCAAATCTTACGAAAAGGAATGTGAGCTCATTTGGATACTGTGGGTTTGTTATCTTAGAGGTGACATAGGAGCCAAATTCAGAGTTGTCTTACATCAGTGTAAATCCACCAGAATTAACACTCTGAGATCCTACCAGTCTAGCTGAGCTACCGATCCAGTCTTTGGTCTTTAAAAGTTTTACAAACTGATGCCGTGAAATATCTTAACGTGTCTTTAAAAAAAAACAAATGAAGCAATTTCTTAAAGCCTGTTAGGACGTGTGTAGGAACCTACCAACATACAGAGACTCAAAACTAATCTTAATTATGTTTTTTTTTCTCCTCATAGTTAAACTCCTGGGATCTGAGCTGCTCCAGAGAGCATGTCTCAGAAGTCATCAAAATGTAGTAGAGCTTCCACTCCCTGGGTGAGGCACACAGTTGATCAGAGCAGAAGAAAAAGGGAGTTTGATTCCCCCCTCCCTTTGTTTCTTTTGGCAGGAGTATAAAGGAAGCAACTCCAGGTCTGAACCATCGGGTGGCTTTCGAGTCAAAGAGCTCTCACCAAAATCCAGGGAAACAGGTAGGATTCAAACAGGTAATGCATCTTTTGTGAAGTGGGATGTGGTTCACTGAACGGGAAAGAGCGGATTATCTTGCGAAGGGGAAAGTCTGTCGTCCCTTCATGTATCACTGCCTGCCTTAGAGCTCAGTTTGCTGAACGAACTTGCAAATAGTGTAAATAATGAGGACTTTTCACTTCCCTTTTGAGTCTATTGCACAGTGAAACTGAGATCTGTGTCAGAAATTCCTCCCAGTTTTACCCTATGTAAGTTTGGTTACATTACTTTCAATTCTATCTTCATGCCCTCTTCTAAATCATTCCTCCTTCTTTTTGTCCTTTAACACGCTCTCGACTGCTTTGTCTCACCATGTCAAGGTTGCTTGACCAAGCCAGACAGATACTTCTAATATTTCCTGATATGTTATTCCCTCCATCCGACTAATCACAATTGTTTTTCTTTCACCCCTTCAGAGATGCTACGGGCTCAAGGAACATCTAGTCTGGCTTCCTGAATACTTCAAGCCAGACATTGTCCCCTGGAGTTTCCACATCCAGCTCATCAATTCTAGCTGATTAGTGCATGTCTTAGGAACACGTCCTGTCTTGGCTTAAAGACCGCAAGGGACAGAGAAGTTCCCAAGGTAAGTTACTCCAGTGGCTAACTTCTCTCTCTTAAAATTCTAGTCTGAATTTTCTCCGGTTTAATCTTCCCATCATTGGATCTCATTAGATCAAAGCACTGTCTGCTAGCAGGAATCTCTTTCCCATGTAGGAATTTGTAGACTGAGATCTCATCCTCTCTTACACTTGCCTTAAATAAAGTGAACATCTTAAGTGTCTTGAATCGTTCCAAAGAGGCATGTTTTGCTCACTTCCTTTCTGGACTAGGTTTGTCACTAGGTTTCTGGTTCTGAGGGGCCCTGATCTGGCCTGCCAGAGCTCTGTTGAATTGGGCACACTCCCTTCACGTGTCCTCTCACACACGCTTTCAGTCATGTGCTACCTCCCTGCTCTTCGATGTGACCTCTGTGTTCAGCCCTCTCAAAATTCACTGGCATGTTTGCTGCTTGATTACCTTGTAAACTCTTATTTCTCAGCTAGTTCATTTCAGCCACGTTTCAGTCGTTCTCCCCACCCCCCACAACCACCCTGGCAGTGTATGAATTAATCTAGGGTTTGATCCCACACTCATTGAAGTCAATGGTAAAACTCCCCTTTGACTTTAACAATGCATGATGAGGGGGCTTACGGAGTAAGATTTCGTGGTCAAATATTTCACGTTATGGTTATCGTTATCAAATACATTATGACTTTCCTTTAGTGGCTAGAGCCCAGATCCCAGGTCCTTGTGAGAAAGATCCTTCTGCTTTCATAGAATCATAGAAGACTAGAACTGGAAGGAACCGCAACAGGTCATCAAGCCCTCATGGCAGGACCAAGCACCATCTAGATTATCCCTGATAGATGTCTGTCTAACCTGCTCTTCAATAACTCCAGTGGTGGAGATTCCACAACCTCCCTAGGCAATTTATTCCAGTGTTTAATTTATTTTAGTCCAGTGTTTTGCTTTTGCAAAGTCCCATGGACTTTGGGGCAGCATCTTGCCAGTGCAAAGATTCTCCTGTAATTTTGTAATCTAGTAAGAAAATTAATTGTATTGGTCTGGGAAATGGTCTGGGATTTGACCTTGAAATTCTGTAGGCAATATCATCCTTTTTTTTCCCCCTCTCATATAACTTGCCTCACATAATCAAAAGGCAAAAGCCAGTCGGGGAAAGAATTGAATTCCAGAAGCCAATGACTCCAGCTTCCTCCATCCAGCATGGCGATTCATCTTCTTTATTAAAAGGCACATGAATGCCATTGAGTGACTTGTTGAGCGTTAAGGAACTCAAAAATGAGAGAATTGTGACCTCATTTATGATACTTAGAGTATGATTAACTTCACGGTAACAAAGCTTTTAACTAACTTTGTGCAAAGGGTAGGGCTGAGAAAAAGGGAGATAAGGTGGATTCTGTGAAGAAATTTGGAGGAGAAGAGGATGTCTGGCATATGGGCTGAGGAACAATTTCCATACCGTTACACGATGGAAAATATGTCCAGCTATGGCAAAGGCTCTATTAATTAATTTTCCACATGCAAAATTCTTTTCTGATCATTCTGTGTCTAAACTTCTTCCTTAGAGAGATGCCAGACAGTTTAGTTCCATCTGAACGGGAGCAAACACACCCCCTGAGGAAGGAGAACATCACCTTTGGCTTCTGTATGAAAAAACGAAAGTCAGCAACACTCCCACGGCACCGAGGTCAGCTGTCGGCTTAACTTGTATCAATATGGTTTTCCTATAGCCATATTGGAAGGCCTGTAGCCATATCAGTAGACCAGATTGAAGAGCAGCCACCATTAGCTGTAAAGCCTGGAGTCCCATGCCCACGCTCTTATCTAAATTGCACTAAACTGGTGTCACGCAGGCCTGTTAAGGAGATCCTTTCTAGTGTCCCCCACTGCCACCAGATAAAGAAACAGGTCTCAAAATGGGTAGAGAAAACTTAGTTTAACAGCATTTCGTCTGGCAAGAAACTCTTTACCAATAGTTGAGGTTGTGGAATCCGCATTCTTTGATTATTATCCTCACTTTCCTATGGTTTGTCTGTGTGATCTCTGTCTGCTTTGTAACTGTTTCTGTCTGCTGTGTAATTAATTTTGCTAGGTGTAAATCAATACGGTGGTGAGGTATGATTGGTTAGGTCATTCTGTTACTGTATGTTATGATTGGTTAGTAAAATTATACTAAAATAATTGGTTCAGGTATGGCTAAGCAGGACTCACATTTCACTATATAAACTGAGGTCCAAGACAAGTTTCACTATATAAACTGGGGTCCAAGAAGGAGACCAGCGGAAAAGGGAAGAAGGAAAGGAAAGAGGAAAGGAAGAAAGGAATATCAAAAAGAAGGAGGGAAGACCTGGAAGAAGAACTCACCTCCAAGATATAGCCTAAGACCAGAGCTGCCAGAACTCCTCTGCATGACCGTGACGTGCAGCAGCCAGGATCCCAAGAGACTCACCTTGCTTGGCCAACAGGGGAAGTCTGCCTGCCTTTATCAGGATTGGTGAGCATGACACTGTGTGCTTAGCATGTGTATTCTGCTTGCTTGGGAATTGTCTTTAAATAGAGAATATTACTGTGTAAGGTTCTTTCAGTGGCAAAAGATCCTGCAGGAAGTTACACCCTGAGCCCTAAGAATTGGGTAAAGGCAGGTGTTTAAATTAACAAGGTTGCACCTTGAGCCCTAGGAATTGGGTAAAGGTGGGTGCCCCTAAAGCATGGAAGGGTCAGAGAAATTTGTGCAGGTAACCAACTTAAAGGCATACACTGCAGCTAGCGCGTGATGTTTCATCTGTATTCTACATGCTGAGGCGAAGCACGCTGGAAATGGCTGGAGGCAACTGCACACAAGTGAGTGAATTCATGCTCACCGGATTCTCAGACTCTCCAGAAATTCAAGCCCCTCTTTTCGTGGTGTTTCTTCTGATCTATGTTACTGCCTTGGTGGGGAATCTTGGGATGATTCTGATAGTCCGGCTTGACTCCCAGCTTCGAACGCCCATGTACTTTTTCCTCAGCAACTTATCCTTTATAGACCTCTGTTATTCCACCGTCGTGGCCCCCAAGATGCTGGCGGATTTGTTGGCAGAGAGGAAAGCCATTTCTTACACTGCATGTGCAATTCAGATCTGCGTTTTCTCTCAGTTTGACGTCATGGAGTGTTTCCTCCTGGCCGCAATGGCCTATGACCGGTATGTGGCCATATGTCACCCATTGCTCTACAGGGTTGTCATGTGCCCGAGACTTTGTGTCCAGCTGGTGGCTGGGTCTTTCCTAGTTGGGTGTGTAAATGTGATAGCGCAGACAACAGGCATGCTAACATTAACCTTCTGTGGCTCCAATGTCATTGACTTGTTCTTCTGTGACATCTCCCCGCTGTTGTCGCTCGCCAGCTCGGACTCCCGTGTCAACCACATTTTACTTCTAGTTTTGGCATCCTTGACTGGCGTGTTCACTGGCCTGGTTGTGCTCATCTCCTATATGTTCATCCTCTCTGCCATCCTGAGGATCCGCTCTGCCAAGGGCAGGCTCAAAGCCTTCTCCACCTGTGCCTCCCACCTGACAGTCGTCTCCCTCTTCTATGGGACTGGCCTGTTCATCTATTTACAGCCCAGCACAACGCATTCAAGGAGTCAAGACAAGGTGGTCTCCGTGTTCTACACAGTGGTGACCCCCATGCTGAACCCCCTGATCTACAGCTTGCGGAACAAGGAGGTGAAGGCTGCCCTGAAGAGAGTGATGGAAAGGAAAAAGTTCTTGTTAAGTATAAATTAATAACGAGATGGCCATTATTCCTAACTGGCTCTGGCCTGTTTGTCGGACATGAATTTTCAAATAGCTTTGGGTCACCTGAAACCTTATTTTCTGCAAATAAACTATGCTCCCAAAAATTGCCCACAACACCAATAATTTTTATATAAATATCAGTGGTTTTGCATAGAAACATGTTTTAAGAAATAAAGCGGCGGTTAGGGATTTTCAGAATGGAGAGATGTAACTTCTGGGGTCCCCCAAGGGTCCGTACTGGGACCAATCCTATTCAACCTATTCATAAATGATCTGGAGAAAGGCAGTAAACAGTGAGGTGAGAGAATTTGCAGGTGATACAAAACCGTGCAAAATACTTAAGTCCAAAGCAGACTGCGAAGAACTTTGAAAGGATCTCACCAAACCAGGTGACTGGGCACCCAGGTGACTGGGTGACTGGGCAACAGATGAATTTTAACATTGACAAATGCAAAGTAATGCATGTTGGAAAACATAATCCCAACTGTATGTATAAAATGATGGAAACTTGTTTAGCTGTTACCACTCAAGAGAGAGGTCTTAGAGTCACTGTGGATAGTTTTCTGAAAACATCCCCTCAATGTGAAGTGGCAGTCTAAAAAGCAAAAATACTACTGGGAATCATTAAAAAAAGCAAGAGAGAGCAAGACAGAGAATACCTTATTGCCTCTATATAAATCTATGCTACATCCACATCTCAAATACTGCATGCAGATGTGGTCGCCGCATTGCAAAAAAGATATCTTGGCACTAGAAAAAGTACAGAAAAGGGCAACAAAAATTATTAGTCATATGGAACAGCTGCCACATGAGGAGAGATTAATAAAACTGGGAATTTTCAACTTGGAAATAAGATGGCTAAGAGGGGATATGATAGAGGCCTATGATATCGTGACCGGTGTGGAAAAACTGAATAAAGAAATATTGTTTACTTGTTCCCATAACACAAAAACCAGAGGACATCAAATTCAATTAATATGTAGCAGGTTTAAAACAAACAAAATGAAGTTCTTCACACAGTGCACAATCAACCTGTGGAACTCCTTGCCAGAGGATGTTGTGAAGTCCAAGACTATAACAGCATTCCAAAAAAAAAGCTAAATAAATCTATGGAGGATAGGTCCATCAATGGCTATTCACCAAAATGGGCAGGGATGGTGTTCCTAGTTTCTGTTTGTGAGAAGCTGGAAATGGATGACAGGGGAGGGATCACTTGATGATTCCCTGGTCGGTTCACTCCCTCTGGGGCACCTGGCGTTGGCCACTGTCGGAAGACAGGACACTGGACTAGATGGACCTTTAATCTGACCCAGGATGGCCGTTCTTGTGTGTGTGTATCTTTGTATATATTTTAGAAATGTCTGTCTGTCCATCTGTTTGTGCAAGAACTCGCAAACAGTAACAGCTAAGGCCACCAAATTTGGTAGGCAGCTTCCTCTGACCCTAACATAAAGGGAAGTCATGGTTTGATTGTGCCAGGACCATGGGAAGTGTCAGGAATGGGGTTGTTTTCCACAACATGGAAAGGGAGGGGCAGAGAGAGGAGGGACGTGATCCTCACACTCACCACTGGGGGCAGCGAATGGTGATGGATACTTCCGAGCGAGCACTGGGGACAGCCACACCAGCATGAGACCGACCGGCTGGAGCTGGAGCTCTGCATGTTGCCAACCAGGCCACCTTCTATGGGTAAGGTTCCCCTCCCTCTCCCCCACCGTTCTGCAGCTACAGGGTCTGGGTACTGCCCTCCCCACCCTGCTATGGGGCCTGCTGATTCCTCCTGCCCCGCACCACGTAGGCATGTGGAGATTCTCTCCCTGCTGTGAGGCTCTTATAGGGCCTAGAGATTTTCCCCTCTGCCCCTGACACGTCACCTGGAGCGTGGGGATTCCCACCCTCCCCTTCTCCTCCCACCTCACAGCTCCTCATGGGGCCAGGTCGTGCCCTCCTTCCCCTCCCCCATGTGCTGCTCTTCTCGGGGTCAAGGGATTCCCTCCCACATGTGGCTCCTCACCATGCCTAGAGATGCCACCAACCTGCCCGCACCGCTGCTCTCAGGGCCTGAGGAGTCCCTTGCCCTCCTTCCCCAATCCCCGTGACTTCACCTGCACAGTAGAGATTCCCAATTCCTCCTCTCCCAAGTTTCTTCACCCAGGGCTTGGGGATTTCCTTCCCCCCACCCTCGCTCATGGGCCTGGTCGTGCCCTTACACACCCGAGCAACGCCCTGTAAATTTACTACTCTCTGTATAGATTTGCACAGCATTGCTCTGGTCCTTCAGGACAGGGGGCTGGGGAAGTGGAGGGTGCAGGGAAGGGGACAGAAGTGCAGGAGTCAGGGAAGAGACAGGGGTCCCCAGAGCCAAAACTAAGGTTTTCTGTGCCTGTGGCCCTCCCCCTGCCCCCCAAAATGATAAAATTCTTAATTTGTTGTATTAATTGTATTCATTGCACATGTTGTTAATTGCTCATATATTGAGATTGCAAATAGAGGGTTGTAAAGACATAAGTGAAATAATATTTTAACTTTCTAATTTTTAATTTTGCACTCCTAAAAGTACTGTGCGTGCCCACTTGCCCCACTCTTGTTATGGCTCTGAGGGTCCCTGGGCAAGGGGTGGGGGTGCAGGAGTCAGAGCAGGGGGCTGGGAGGTGTTGGTGAGCTTCCTGGGACTGGTCGGAGTGGTGGCGCCATGCAGCCCAGCTGGCAGCTGCTCACCGGGGACTAGCTGGACCGGCAGGGACAACCCTGCAATCACTTTTTCGTTTACAGGATGGGACTTAATGAGATTCCTCCCCCATCACTCAGAAAAAAAGCTGAATTCCTCTGGCCTGGCTCCATGTCAGCCCTGGCATGTGTTTCATGCCATTGCTTGCCGGGAGGAAGGTCTCCTCTGCTCTCCCTCAGCTGCACATGATGCCTACACGCCATGAGTCATCTTCAGCCCAGCAACACGTGTCGCTCAGATTCTCCGCAGGGTTTTAATCCCACCTGGTGGAGCAGTTGTACAGCACCGAGTGCCGCAAGGCCCTGATCCTTGCTGGGCATTTTTAGGGCCTACCATCCCATTCTCCACCAGCTCCTTGCAACAGTCGTGAGGGTCTCCGAGAGGTCTCTCAGGGAACCTCAGTTCTGACCTGTAACATCCTTTATCCGACCACTCTTGGGAACCCGCCTCCACAGCTCTGACAATGCGGCTGAATTGTGTAATACATTTAGCCCTCCTCATCCTAATAGATGCTTCCACCTTGCCCTAGCAGCGCCTCTCAGCCTGGGTCTGCAGACCCCGCCCGCCTCCTGCTCCTGCGTATGCCCTTTGCCAACCTCAATATTTCTGCAAAGCCAGGTTGGGTTGTCACCAAGGGGTGGGGAGTCACCAGACCCTGCACCCCCCATCCTCAGAGGTGACTCTGAGCCAGCAGGTGGAGCAGAAGGTTTTTTAGTTGACAGGGACACCGCGGAGCACAGACTTGTCAGCACAGGAACCAGAAGCAGCCAGCACCATCCAACCTCCTGTATCCTAAGCCAGCTGAGACTAACTCACAGACTCAGCAACCACTCCCAGCCCTGTTACCAGCCCCGCCTCCTCCTTTGTCCTGCTTCCAGGGCGAAATTTGTCACCTGGTCTCACCCTCTCCCAGGTTCATATTACTGGAAGCCTGGGTCATTGTGTACATGCTGGGACTGAAGCAGCCTCCCTCAGTGAAAGTCACACCCGAAATTCCCATCCCCCTCTAGGTATTGGGTGCAGTGCCCAGGGAAACTGAGGCACAGACAGGGGGTGACTACAGGACAGTAGAAATCACACGCACCATAAAAGAGTAAATACAACCCCCACTTCATCACAAGGGTCAATGCGGTGACTGAGCTGGTGCCATGGGCCCTTTCTGCCTTGCTTTGCTAAGTGTGTGGTTAAGGGCCAGGGTGTAACAGCAGAGCATGAACACGGCTCACGCCTCCCTAGGAGTGAAATGTTTCTAGCAGCCAGGCAGGAAACCAGGGTTCACATCCTGTGTCAGTTGGTGAGTGGCAGCTGGAAATGCTGCAGCCTCTTTCAGCTGGATTTATCTGGTGGAGACGTCTCCCAGCCCTCGGCGGTCCTGTGGGAGGACCAGGCTGTGGGTCCATTTGCAAAGCCAGTGGGAAAGCCCAGTGCTCTTTGTATTGCCTTTTGTCCTGTAGGAAAAAGAAGAAAAAAAACTTGTCACAAAGTCTTGTCTGATCATGTCCCATTAAGATCCTTGGCCAAACTTGTCAGTATAGGTTGAACCTCTCTAGGCCAACATCCTCAGGACCTGACCGGTGCCAAGCCAGAGAATTTGCCACACCATGGGAGGTCAATACTGTCTAACAGCCTTACCAAAACTTCCTCTGTTTTGTGGGCTCTGAGAAGACATTTTAGGGGTAAATTAGAGCTAAAAAACAGCACAGAGCACTGAGGCTACGTCAACACTGCACAGTTATTTCGTAATAAGCTATTCCGGAATAGTTATTCCAAAATAGCTTATTTTGAAATAGCACATCTATACTGCAGGGAAGCCTCAAAATTAGTCCAAGGCAGGCTTCCCTAATGTAAACGTGCTAAGAAGGAATACCTTAGAATGGGCTTGGTGAGGGGCTATTTCAAAACAGCAGCAGTAGAGTGTCTACACATACCTTATTTTGAAATAACTATTTCGGAATAGGTATTATTCTTCGTAAAATGAGGTTTACAGAAGTCGGAATAAGCCGTCCGTAATTTCGAAATAATGGAATGGCTGTGTAGACGCTTGCATAGTTATTTCAGAATAACGGCTGTTATTCTAAAATAACTTTGCTGTGTAGACACACCCTGAGTGTCAGAACTGGTGTCTGTAAACAAATTGAATGGGACCGCAGGAAACTTGGCCACACCCATGATAAATGGACAGCTGGCTAACTTTAAAATCATGCCAGACCACAGATGTTGCCAGACCAGAGAGCGCCAGACTAGAGGGCTATGTCTACACTGGCATGATTTTCCAAAAATGCTTTTAACGGAAAAGTTTTCCGTTAAAAGCATTTTCGGAAAAATCACGTCTAGATTGGCAGGCTGCTTTTC